TTCTTGGACTGTGCACTTTCCTTTTTTACATCCGCCTCCTTCTTCCATCAGCTTTCTGCAAAAATGATTGTTTTCAACAACATTTCCTTCAGTCATGATATGATTAACTGTAGCACTACTTGTCTCACACTTCGCACGCTCAGCATTTCTCTCCCATTTCGCTTTTGGACCTTTTCCCTCTTTCTTTACGCGCTCTTCCTGCTTTGGCTTCCATGCCAGCTCAACCCCGATGCTTTCGAAAGCATTCGTTCCCAACAAGAGGATTTCAGCTTTGTCTTCCACCAGTTGGAACCACACATTAGCTTTGTTTCCTCTCACCATGATTGCAATCTTCAGTTGTCCTTTCACTGGCATATTCTTTCCTGACGTATTCCTCACGACGAATGGTGGCTTCGCCAGTACTTCGATCTTACGTCTCCAGCTCTCACATCCTTTCTTCAGTGCCTCCCACACTCTTGTCGACATGACCGATACTTCTGCGCCACTGTCGATAACCATTATGCGCTTCTGACCCAACAATTCCACTTGTTCCCTCATTTTCGCGCCCACACCACTTCCTGTTCCATCAGTTTCCACGTGGTGAATCACTTTTGCATCGCAATCTCTAGCTATATGCCCCATTCCTTGACATTTATAACATTTGATCGCTGCCCTTCTCTGGCTCTCACTCTCACTTCTGTTCCCCTGGCTACCAGCTTCCGATCCTTCCTTTTTCTCCTCGGAATTTTCCTGCTTTGCTGCCTCGCTTCGCTTCTTTTTCCAGCTATTCTCCTTCTTTTCGTGTCGATCCGATTTTCCGAGCCCTTGCCTTCTCTTGTCTTCGTTCTCTTGCTGAAGAACGATATCCTTAAGGAACTCGTACTGGTCCTTTTTCGCCACCTCGTATCGCTTCATAGTCATCAGTTTTTGCATCGTCGGATCATCCCGCAGCGCTCTCATAAGCTTTGTAACTCTCAGCTGTGACTGTGTCTCTTCTTCCAGATGTGGAAACGCTCTCTTCGACCATTTCTCCACAGACATCAAAAACTCCCACATCGGCTGCTTTTGCTTTCGCTCTAAATCCTCAAACTCGTTGAGAGCTTCCACCTCGCGATCTCCTTGCCTCCT